ATTGAACCGGAGGGCAAAACGATCATTTTTTTAACCATGAATATCGAATATTCGGATGCATTTGTTTCAGCCTATGGTTTCAAGGCTTTCTCAGGTTTGGTCAATGTTTTGCTACCTAATTGTACGTGTGTATAATGAATTACATAAGTACAATGTTATATCTGTGTAGGGTACCTGCACAACATACTTTCATTAAATGCTCAAAATAGCAACATACTTTCAAAATCAAGTATGCAAATAGGCAAAAGTAAAAAAAATCATTAAAAAAAATAGTAAAATCACGCAAGGAGTGTTAATTATTTATAGTTTAAAATGCTTTAAATAGGAACATACTTTCACACACACACACACACACATAAATCCTATAACACATACCATTCTAGCTATGTAGAGTTCTTTGCTATTTTCCCTCAGTTTTCCATATTCGCAGTATACAATATGTTCATCTAAAATTTGTATCAAAATTTTGTTTACAGTAACTACTAAAAGGGCATCTAAAAGTTTTTTCAAGAATTCAATATGCTATGTTAGCCTACACAAAAATTTTCCCTTAGGCTTAAGGTTCATAGGAGAAGCGTGTCTTTCCAGTAGCATAAACGAGTAACATAATATGCAAACCTACCTATCTAGTCATGAAGCACTTGAGAATATCAATAAAATGATAAATTTCTTGGGTAGAAAGATCAAATATGGTTAGACACAAGGTGTAACACACACAAAACCTTTATCATGTGCTACTGGTATGTTGAAAATGCCATAATACCTTTTTCCTAGGTCCTGTAACAGTAGGTGATAGCAAAATTGTTATTGGTATGTTGAAAATGCCATAATACCTCTAACCCATGATCAGAAGGTTGTGCTTTCTCCAATGGTCTTTAGACTTACAAGGCTTCTACAACCATGTTTCTTCCCCAACAAAGTCACCTTGCCAAAAAAATCTTCAAATTGGAAACAGATAAAACATTTTGAGACCTAGTTTCCAAACAAAATGCACGCTTGGGTTCTTGATATACGAATCACTGCACAAAAGAAAAGATCAAACTTCAAAGAAACTAAGGTGTAGGAGCAAAAAAGGAAGGACATAGGGTTATGATGTGGACAATACAAATTAACATTACCGAAAAGGTGAGCATCCAACGCTTATATTATTAGCAACTAATTTTAATGCCAATGTTATATTAATCCCACTAAATGATGAAAAACTTAATCTAACCAATTATAATTCATCTATATATCCAAATTGTATGTTCAACAATACCATCATTAATGGTTGCAATTAGCTCCAAACTTGATAAGACCATTTGTTTCACCAAAAGAAGACATCATGCCAATTCTAATCCCATGTCACCATGTTTGTGAGTAGACTATTGATGGTAAGCTCATTTGTGTTTTAGTTTCACTGTGTTGATCTTCGTCTTGAGGTTTTGTGGGCAGTATAGTAAAGAGTTAAATTCTCAAGTCTAAATTGAGTAAGATTAAAAAGCGGATTATTTAGTACCTATATAGAGATATCCACACACATTTTAAGTAAAATATATGTTTATTCTTTGTTGAAAGTAGTTGGCGATCATCGATACTTTGAGAAAATCCTTAACGATGCATAGTGATGCCATTGATTTACGAATTAGGATAAAACTTACAGGTAACATGGCATTCTTACTCTCTAAACGAAATCAAGGAAGTCGGAAGAAATGTCATGATGGTAAAAGAATTCAAGGAATACCTTATAAGCATAGACGTCGGCGAGAATGTTGCCCCAACCATCAACAAATGCTTAATCCCACAACCTACCACCAAGATTCTTACAACAAAAATCGTAGAAGCGGAAGAGAAGAGATAAATTAACAGTAACAACATCAGATTAAAAACATGAATTAAAGCATACCTTAGATGGCTTTTCTTCAAAGGGAAAAAAAAATTTCAGTTGATTTGTGGTACATGATTATCATAGGCTTGAAGCAATTAGAATGAAATCGAACTTTTATATAGACGGGACAGTTGAGTGCGATGAAGAAGGAAGATCATGGGGGTGGATTCAACGGTTTCCTGCATAAAACCAATTAGGAAACCGATTAGAGAAGTGGAGTCGATCATGCGGGATGCTTCTAGATATTTGACAAAGAAGGCTTCGTATTTGCCGACCCTCCTCCTTCTTGTCCCCAAGTTGCTTCCATATTTGTCATCGGAAACCGATTGCTAGAACTACACAACAACCGTAAATATTGAGTTTAAACGGATGAGATTTAATGTTTCAAGATTTTGAACGGCTGTGATATGGATTACGGTTTTCCAGTCACCGTTCGTTCAAAGTATAAATAATTTTATGTTGTTAATTTTCATTATATTTGTAACACCCAAAGTTTTGAAGGCCAAGAAAGGAAAGAAAAGCCCTAATTTTAAGGGTAGACTCGGCGAGTCCAAGGAGGGACTCGGCGAGTCCGAGCGGGATCCAAGTCGAGGAGTAAGCGACCGACTCGGCGACTCGGCCAAGGTGACTCGCCGAGTCTGGTCTGAACGGGGAAAACCCTAATCCCGGGAGTTGTACCCTATTTAAAGGGTGTTATATCCCTCCCTCAGCCCCCATATCACCCTAGAGAACCAGTGTGCCCTTGATTTCGTAAGAACTTCCATTATTTGAGAGATAAAGCTTGGAGGAAGGAATTTTGGGGAAAGGAACTTGAAGATCAAGTGGGTTGCTTCAAAAGGAGGAGGTGTAGATCCGAGATCTACTTCATTGGTATTAATCTTGGAGGTAACAAGCTGCTATTTTCCCTTCTTTGCACCTAGATCTATGTGTGTATTTGGGCATTTATGGCATTTGAGTGACCTTTCGAGCTAGGGGTTCAGATCTAAGGTTGTTACCTCAGATCCATGCTTATTTTGATCTAAAACCCCGTAAAGTATCAGCCCTTGAATTTATTTTGAAGCTCCTTGGCCTTAAACCCTAGTTTATGGCATATTTTGCCTAGATCTCATTCTTTACACGTAAAGTTTGCAACTTTACGTGTGGAATAGGCTTGGGAAGGGTAGATCTACAACTTGGAGTCCATGCATGACTCAAAAGTCCTCTGCACGTAAGGAGAACTGAAGGGACTCGACGAGTCCTTTGAGTGGACTCGGCGAGTAGCATGAAGTTGTAGAGAAACTCGATGAGTAGGATGAACAACTCGTCGAGTCGTATGAAGATTGCCTTGTACTCGGCGAGTCTGTTCTTGGACTCGGCGAGTCAGGTCGCGAAACCCCAAACCCTTCAAGTTTAGACTCGAATCAGTGAGTCTGGTGGAGACTCAGTGAGTTGGATAGGTCAGGACTCAGAAATCGGTAGACTCGGTGAGTCATGGACTGACTCGGCGAGTCGAGTCGCGAATAGAGGGAATCAGATCATTTTGAACTCGGCGAGTCGGTAGGGTGACTCGGCGAGTAGGGTTGACCTGGAAGGTTGACTTTGACCAGGACCTTGACCTTGGACCAGGGTTGACTTGGTTGTCTTTCGGGGGTCAGTTAGACTCAGTGTTGCATTGATATTGGTAGTTCGGGGAGCAAGGGGAGCAGGAGTTCCGTGAGTTGTCGGGCAGCAGCTAGTGAGATCATCAGCAAGTTCAGCCAATACAGGTGAGTTTCCCTTTGTGTGAATGGGTCTAAGGCCACAATGCCGGTCCATGTAGTTATGAGTAGAAGACCCGGGGGTTAGCCCTAGGCACAGTATGGTAGTATGATTTTCAGGACTAGGTCCAATAATAGCGGGCGGGTGCCCAAAGAATTGTTTATATGATAGTTTATACTTGTTGTTTGTGTGATACATGTATGTGCCTGGTAGGGAGGTGGGTGTGGGCGAGGACCCATATCTCACCAATAGCAGAGTGTGGATGGGTTTCCACATCTCAATAGTCGCATAACAGGGGCGAGGCCCAAGTTAGGGAAGGAGTGAGGGTGGACTGGGCCCGTATCTCACTACCACTAGGAGTGTGGACGGGGTTCCATGACTCATCAGTAGCAGTTCATGGGCGAGGCCCAGGATAGGCAAGGTCTTAGGACAGAACCAGTTGTATGTGTTTAGTTATGTGTTGTGATATGTTTATGTGATATTAAATGTTAGCGGGCGAGGCCCTGTAACAGGCGGGGCCTAAGTAAAACAGATATGTATCCGAGCGAGGCTCGAAGCCAGGCGGGGCCTGGAGCGGTGGGGTCGTTGTAACAGGCGAGGCCCGAGGTAGGGGCGAGACCCAAGATAGCGGGCGTGGCCCAGTATGTGCAGTATGTGGTAGGGTGGGGAACTCACTAAGCTTCGTACTTACGGTTTTCAGTTTTGGTTTCAGATACTTCCGGTAGCGGAGTGAAGAACTCGAGGTGATCGCATGGCACACACCATAGATTAGACAGCCTGGGAATGTTTACTCTGATAATAAACATGTGTTTTGAAAACTTATACTCATATTATGTTTTGGAAACGATGATTTTAGTTTGAGTAGTGAATCATTAAAAGAAATTTTTGGTATTAAATTTTTGATCGTTACAATATTATTTAGCATCGAACAAGAAATCCTTTCTAACAAAAATCTTATTTTACTGAATTTTTTTTTATTTTATTTTTTTTTTTTTTTTTTTGACAAAAGTTGCTCTGAAAAGACTGGCAGTTAAATAATATAATAACCAAATTTACCATGGAAGTAATTGTTGCGAAATTACAAGCGTAGACTTCATAACACGTCGTTTGTAAAATAATAGTTCAGCTACGATTTGGATATCGGAAATTCGTTAGAGTTGCAATTTTTCTATTAATATTAAACGAATAGAAAAATATTAAATATGTTGTTCTTATTCTAACCGGTTTGTTTTATTTGTGGAAAAGAAAGGGGAAAGTTTCAACCTGTTGAGTCAAGGTAAACCATGAATTAAATTTGTCCGTTAAATAGCGAACCTGGCAGCACAGTTGAGCACAGAATCAGAAATTCACTGAGATTTAATTATTAAAATATCCCTCCTTCCATTTTCCGCCTTGAATGGTTGGTAATAAAATGCAGCAGTTTCAAGTTTTGCATTTCCTTATCCTGATTTTGTTAACAACATTCACAAAAGCACAGAATTACATCCAGACGAGATGCGAGCGTAGCTGTGGCCAGGCCAATATTATTCGTTTCCCATTCGGGATTGGAATAAATTGTTCTCTGAACGAATGGTTCAACATTGAATGTAACTCACAGAGGGCTTATCTTCCTGCACTCAACAACGTGGAGGTGTTGAACGCGTATTACACACACCTCATTCTTAATGTCCCCATGATTTCTGATTGCAAGAACTCGCTCCACAACAGTAGTCTTGACTTAAGCAGAAGTCCTTTCCGTTATTCCCGATACAATAACATGCTCGTGTTTCAAGGGTGTGGCCATGCTGACATCATCATGGAGAACGGTACTATTGTTGGTGGTTGTTCAACAACTTGTCGCAAGGATAGTACTGTTAGTGACCTGAACAACTGCTTCGGCGTGGGTTGTTGCCAAACTACAATTGCTCATGATCTCCGGTGGTTTACATTGAATCGAACAAGCTTGGAAAGCCAGGATGGAGACGGAACCTTGTGTGGGTCTGCCTTCTTGATGTATAAGTATCGCCAACCGACTTTTGGTCCCCAATCTATTGGCCAGGACCACTCTTTTGTTCCTGTGTCGCTTTCTTTGAAAGGAAATGATACTTCAGTAGGATGCAACAATATGTGTGGGAATGTCTCGATTCGATATCCTTTCGGGATTGGAAGAAGCTGTTCAGGGAATGAATGGTTCACTATCGATTGTAACTCCTCGACACCATATTTATCGGCCCTCAACAATCTTGAGTTGTTGGATATAAAATCTGAAAGGTTCACTGTTAATGTCCCTATGATTTCGGATTGCGAGAATCCAATCCAGAATAGTAGTCTTGACCTAAACAGAAGTCCGTTTTACTTTTCCAAAAACGGTAACTTATTCGTTGTTGAAGGGTGTGGCAATGGCGTCATCATTAATGAGAATGGAGATATTAGCGGTGGTTGTTCAACTAGTTGTGGCAATGAGAGTGTTAGTGAAAGAAACAACTGTTTTGGCATCGGTTGTTGTGAAACTACAATGACTTATGATCTCAAATCGTTTACCTTGAATCTAACTGAATTGGTAGGATCACATGCTGGAAATGTAAGCTGCAGTAGGTCTGCCTTCTTGGTGGATAAGAATTCATACATGAAAGGAAGGTTTTCCAGTCAATCTACTGTGGAGGACCAGCGTTTTGTTCCAGTATCACTGGAATGGGGCTACATGGACGAAGGTGGAAACACAAAAGAAGACAAAAAATGCATAGATTGCGAATTTAAAGGGGGGCACTGTTACTATAAAGATGG